TTTTGGAAGGTTTGTCTAGGACTTTGGCTTGAACTTGGTGAAGTCCGATATAAAATTTATATCCCCTTTTGCCAAGTGTAGCCGCGTCCAGTTCAGGCACGCTAAGGACGATGGTCTGTCCTGATGGTTCATTCTTCCGATGAAGTATGTTCCATTCGGTTGGAGTAAGCCCACCATTTTGTGCCTCAATCTTTCTCAGAACCTCTTTGGACTCCAGTTTACTACAGACTTTCGGCAGTTTAGCAATGATCTTAGTAGTTCTGACAAGTTTCCTTGCCTCTCCTACCAAGAGAGTTTGCTCCTGCCATGGGTTTATCTCAACTACAATCTGTTCCAGCCACTTAGAGCTCCCCAGATCTGCACAATTGATGATAAGTGCCCCATTTTCTAGTCTGCAAGAAAGAAAAGTGGGGACAAAACCCTCTTCATTTCTAGAAATTTTTTCAGTTATCAAGAACTCAAGGTCTAGGGCCTGTTCTTCGGATAAGCGCTCAAGAGGATGTCCTTCAAGAATCACAGCCATTTTAACTGCGGTTAGAGCTTCCTTAAAGGTTATACCTTCAGGTCCTTCTTTCCTGGCAGCCTTTGGGGCTACATCTTGTTCCATCCTTTGGCTTTGTCTTTTCTCGCCTCTCTGCTTTGGTTTGGGTTTTTCTACCCAGGTACCTTCAGCCATCTTCTTTTCTCGGGCAAGTTTCTTTTTCTGTGCACCAGATAGTCTTTTTTTAAGTTTGATCCCATCCATGGAGGCAGTCATGCTATTAATAGCTTCCTGCCCCACTTGAGATGTTGATTGGGTAGAGGTCATTTCTACCTCTTTTGATGAAGGGTTCATTTTATCTCCTTCAGTTGGTTTTTCCCTAGTTTCCTTTTCTTTTGCAGAAAGGTCTACTTTGGGATTTTCACCTGCAAATGCAGTAATTTGAGTTGTATTTTTGTCATTTTCAGCCATAAATTACCTCAAATAAAAAGCTCAGGTAAAGAAAGTCAGCCCAGCATTGCCTGAGTTACTGGGTAAGGCAATTACTCTAGATGTTCGCCAGTCAAACTAGAGGCTCCGTTAAGACACTATAACCGCAGTGCCATTCACCCAAGGCACGGGTCGCGTAACACCTGGGTTACGGGAGTTGGTTCGCGACCTCCTATTTGTTATTCAGAGGCTATCCTGTCAGTGCTACAGGACATTCGGCTATCCACCACCTGCCGTCGCGCCTGGTAGCCGCTCAAGCCCCAGGTAGCTTCTCATTAAACTCCGCAACGAAAAATATATTTCATAACACCCCTCTTAGTGCGAAAATAACCAGAATCAGACAGTTCCGTATCAGAATTACCACAAGTTAACCTATCAGAAGTTTCTGAAGGATAACGCTAACACTGCAACTGTTCTATAGATAACATACAATAATACCAAATGTACGATAATTGTTAATATCATTATATCCATAATCAAAATCCATAATCCTTGAATGACTCCATAATCCTTTATGTATCGTGAAGATTACCACCGATAATAAATATAGAATGCAATAACATTGGGAACATCTTTCATATTTAAAATTATAAATCTTATCGAGTTGATAAATTTTATTTTAGCAACAGAAGTATTCATTAATGTAAACATAGAAAATTTCAATTTTTCAAACTATTGATCACGATGATAAAATTGAGTAAAGCTCAGCATCATATTATTTGGTTATTTTGGAACACTATTTAAAACTCCAAACAACGGTACTATAATTTCATTTTACCGAACAGAATAATTAATATTCTCTCTATATAGAGGCGTGGTAGCTCAGGGGATAGAGCGCTCGCCTTCAATTAGGTGAACCGTGTTCGAAACCCAGAGATGGCTGGTTGATAAGAAATCCGCCCCCGGCTTGCACCGACAGCAGTGCTGATGTGAAATATTGTCAGCGATAGATGGAACCTGGGTTAGTCTCCTTGCCGTCAGGTTAACCATGAGAGGTTGTTAGTGTTTTTCTTCTCCATTTTACACAAATGCCTGTTAGTTTCATTAAAAAGTCCACAACGAAGGCAAATTTCGTCCAATACTTGATCCAGGAGTTTCCTTGCCTTCTGGATTGGATTCAGAATTAGAAGGCTACGAAGATGAACATTAGTAGCCATATGCCCAAAAATTCAATGATGGTTATAAATTATCTTCGCTATATTTCTTGTCATTATCTAATTTGCATACTGGTGAATTGGTTGTCGGTAACAGGTTAATTGAAATAAATTTCTCTACTGTCAAAATTTTATTTTATTTGGACCTACATATGCAAATAATATGCAATATATGTAAATATGCAAATATATATGTAAATATGCAACTCTATGCAAATAATATGTAAATGTGCAAATAATATGTGAATATGCAAATAATATGTAAATTTGCAACTCTTTACAAAAAGTCTCTGAACCGACAAATTTTCCAAGAAAATATATATGTTTTTTAGTATTTATAAAAAAAAATATTTTTTTTATATTTATGCTGCTATGTAAAACGCTCACATATAACGTTTGTATTCATTCTTATCAGATGAGAAAACAAGCTTTAATTTTGCTTATATAAACCCATATGATTATTTTTAAAGACGGAAAATAATAAGTTTTTAAAATGAACAGGAAACATACTAGGAGATTTGTACTATAGATGAATCGTGTTTATAAATATTAATCTACTACTCTGACGTTGATTGAAGAGTAGGCTTAACGCAGCTCGAATATTCAGAACTGTTCAGTGAAATCTGCGTTTCATGCGTGCAGAAAGATTCTAAAAATATATATGTTTAACGCAGTTTGAGCATTATTTTCATTAGATGTTCACCATCTAAGAGTCTATTTGCTGATTAAATAGATGCATAATTTATTTCGCGTTAGGTAATTTAATATCTTTGCGAAAAAGTTACAGAATTTCAAATTATTACAACTCTTGCATCAGCATTTTCAAGGCGGAACTTATAAAGATTGATGAATCCTGTTGTATGTACTATGATTGCTTTAGTAAAAGGAAGAAATATTTTTCACGCGACTTAAATAATCGAAACGTAAATAAAGGAATTAAGCAGCCCATAAGCAATAATAATTTTGATCTTTTTTGTAAATTTTTACTTTGTCACTATATGAATAGATTTCCTATTGTTCTTACTGAAATGTACATGGCTAATAAAGTTTTTTGACATTTTTAGCCCACACGAGAGTCAGTTTAAACTTTATTAGTCATCTTTCATTTCGACCTTTTTCTATATAAATTTGGCTTTTACATAATGATCAATGGTTTTTTAATGACTTTAAATCCTCAAGTAGCCAAAAACGCGGATATTAGCTCTTCCTTACTTGTACTTATATAATTTTTTTTCTTTGATAGAAAAAAGATAGATCATCAGAGGTAAATGAAAAAATTTGTTCATGACCGAAATATGTTTTCCAAATTGCACTGAAATACACATATGTACTTACCAAAACACAATGTTTATAAATTGAATGAAATGTTTATAAATCAAACTTTTACAGAATGTATATGCTTCATGATTTTCAAACTTTATTTAACTAATAGTGCAAGAAAACATACAAAGTCAAACTAAATGAATCTAATGAGCAAATAAAGCGAGCTCGAACTGTGAAACAATCCAAAAAGAACGGTCTTCTAAATGGCTTTGGGCACAGCGAGCAGGAGTGGCTCCCTAATGTTTTATGATATCCTTCCTGCCATAAGTCACAAAAATCTAACCTTCTTTTCAACTTGTAGTTTTGAAAATTTTAACAGCTTATGCTTTATTAGTTTTGCTAAAATTTTGGAAAATGGACTATACTACAGCCTTTTCTTGGGAAAGTGTTTTCCGAGTAAATTATCTGAGCCGGATGCGAAGGAAAAACACGCCCCTCGGATTTAGGGTACAGTTATCGGTGTCATTGCCTTTACATTTTGTCCTTTAACTCGTTGAATGCCATAGGTTTCGCCGGTAACCGGCATTGAGTTTGTTCGTAGTGCCACGGGGGTCACCGGTGACCGTCAAAACCAAGATTATTAGAAACACATAATTCGAGTAAATTTTTAATTTTTTTAATATTATTATCGTTATTAAAATGGTTTGAAAAAATCAGTGCAATATAGAATATGCGAAAATAGTTTTATTCATATACACAGAGATGCCAACTTGGTCCGGACAGCGAATAAATATTTTCATGTGGTAGTTTATTAATTGTGATTCTTGGTTTAATAAATAAAATTTAGTAGATTTTTATCCGCCACTATTTCTAAATAATTAGTAGGCTTACATAATTCACCACTTTTATCAGCTATGCAGAGATGCCAACTTTCTCCGCTTTGTAAAATAGTATTTTTTAGTGGTAGCGAAATTTTAGTTTCTTTTAGTTTAGTATTTTTCATTTTAAGTAATTTTTTCACCACTAAATATCAAAAATTATAAGTATGATAAAAAAATACAACGTTTAAGCATCAATCTACTGCTTACTATATTAAAAAGTAGGCGTAACTATCTTTCTTTAACGAATTTTACTATATAATCTGCTTCCATTTTATTAAAACTATTCTAGAAAGCGGTAGAATCTCTGGATATGTCACTCTAAACCTTTTAAAAAACTAGCAAAATCTGTATAATATTTGCAAATTTAGTTTGCAGTTACTTACCATTTGGCCAGACAGGCAAGCCATGTAAAATTAGCGTGGCATTCAACATGTTAAAGCTTTGAACATGCCTTTCTTTTCTTTTGCTATAACTATAAATGAATTTGCTATCAAACGAGAAGACCTACAATTTTGTGCGAAAAATGTTAAAAGACAAAGGAAACTTGCCATTAATATATTAAGGGGGAGGGACTAAATAAATAAAAAAAACTATTTAGGATCTATCTATGATTTGTGTCTTTTTTTCATTTTTATTTATTTTTACTTCTCGACTGAGTTGGTTTATTTATCGGGACAATCTCCAAGTGACTCGGCCGGATAATGTATCCCATTTCTTGTGGATAACAATCACTCATGATATGAGTTGGACTCGCAACTTGACTGACATGAAGGATGCGCTTCATAACTGTAACTGCAACAATACGGCTAGAACGACAGATGAAAAATGCAACACTTCGGGCACAGATGGCACACCCTCTCAATCACTTTACCCCCTTCTTCATCACCCCCTCTACCCTCACTCTCGATCATTGATCCTACACCCTTAATTAAAGAATCCCTTGCATCCGATGGAAAAGTGTGTAAATTTCGTAAACAATAAGAATTATTGGTAATATTGAGAAATCTGAAATGGCTTTTTGAAAGATCCGTCTAAAAAATTGAAATGAAAAGATTTACTTGATTTAAAAATAAAAAAAAATATATGAATTTATTATAGAATTTGAGTGTAAATGCTAAGTTAGAGCATTTATCCCATTATTGTGATTTCAAATTAAACTTAATTTGGAGGGAAGATTTGCGATAGTTATTTTTATGTTTCGTGCCGCNTTATGTTTCTTTTCACTTCATGAAATTTTCGTAAAAGTAATATACATATATCAGAAAAGTTTTGATAGTTGCAAAGTAATATGTAACCGAAATGTTCTGATAGTTGAAAAGTAATATATGTAACTGAAAAGTTTTGATAGTTGAAAAGTAATATTTATTGTCGAAAAGTTCTGATAGTTCAAAAGTAATATTTATAACTGAAAAGTTTTGATAGTTGAAAAGTAATACGTAGCCGAAAAGTTTTGATAGTTGAAAGGTAATATTTATAACCAAAAAGTTTTGATAGTTCAAAAGTAGTGAATATGGCTGAAAAGTTTTGATAGTTGAAAAGTAATATATATAGCCGAAAAGTTCTGACAGTTGGAAAATTTATATACTACAGAGTAGGGAAGAAAAATTACTTTTGTAGTTGCCTTGACCTAATACAGCTTTTTTTGTGTCGAAAAATATTATAAAAATAGTGTATTTAAAATGAT